TGTTGCTTCGCAAGAACAAAAGAATTGCTAGGAATTAACTGGAATACTCCCAAATCATTGGCTCGCTGATGTACCTGGCTAGTGCAACTAGGCCTGATATCTCCTTTGCTGTGAGCAAGTTGAGCCGGTTTACCTCTAATCCGGGAGATGATCACTAGCGTGCGCTTGAGCGAGTAATGTGCTATCTGAAAGGTACTATAGAATTGGGGCTTCACTATACTGGGTATCCTGCGGTACTGGAGGGTTATAGTGATTCTAACTGGATCTCTGATGTGGATGAGATCAAAGCCACTAGTGGATATGTCTTCACACTGGGTGGTGGTGCTGTTTCGTGGAGGTCTTGCAAACAGATCATTTTGACGAGGTCAACCATGAAAGCAGAACTGACGGCACTGGATACTGCTACTGTTGAGGCAGAATGGCTGCGTGATCTACTAATGGATCTGCCTATTGTTGAAAAACCGGTGCCGGCTATCCTTATGAACTATGACAATCAAACGGTAATTGTAAAAGTGAATAGTTCTAATGATAATATGAAATCGTCTAGACATGTGAAAAGACGATTGAAGTCTGTTAGGAAATTGAGAAACTCCGGGGTTATAATGTTAGATTACATCCAAACTGCTAGAAACCTGGCAGATCCCTTCACGAAGGGACTATCACGAAATGTGATAGACAATGCATCGAAGGAGATGGGTTTGAGACCCATGTGAGTTATACAATGGTGGTAACCCAGTCTATGTGATCGGAGATCCCGTGAATTAGAACCTGGGAAGAACAAACCATTAGTAAACTAGAGGAGAGTACCAATCTATACCCTCTCTAAGTGAAGATGCATGTACTCTCGTGAGCTGCAAGGTAGGTTGGTTATGGCTTAATGAGTTCTGTTGGCTTTAATTAGCGAAGATGTTATCCTGCAGAGCATTCTTGAAAGAACTCACCTTTGTAAGCTTGACTATTGATCGCAGTCTATGGAGATTTTGGGTGAATCTTCTAGGAAGCTTACTAAAGACCTAGGAGTATGACTTATACGCTCCACCCGAGGGGTAGTCTACAGACGGTATAGTACTAGATAAGACTCTGAGTGAAACTTGCTTGCACGAGACTTGCAATTCAAGGCGTAGTCCATTGTTCAAGTTGTGAGTAAGTGTAGTTTGGAGTTCTAGGTGGATGTTCAACCTTAATCGGTCTCCATCGAACCGCTGGTATATAAACAGTACATTTGAAAAGGCAAATCTCAGTGGGATTTTGAGATTTGGTGGGGGATTGTTGGAATTAATAGATGGGCTAAGACCCATTCGAAGATTAATTATTTGGAAAATCACAAAAGCCCACCTCATGGGATGGCATGCATGTGGAGTTTAGGACCACCTTGCTTATTCTAGGAGAGGAGGACCTCCTTAAAAGGGAGGATGCCCTCCTAGCCACTTGAAGCATGTGTGGTGGAGAGAAGAGGGGGAACACACGCGCTCGCCTCGCCTCGCCTGGCAGGGAAGGGCAGGCGCGTCGTGCTCCTCATCCTTGCGCAGATGCAGCCTCCTTTTGCAGTTTTGTTTTGCTGCGGAAAATTCGGATTTGTTTTTGTTTTGGAAACATTCCGAAAAATCCGGTGCGTGAAAACGGCGTGAAGTCCGGATAAGTTACGCGCGACTTATCCGGTTCGGTTACACGGAGTAGAGATCGTGCGGGCGCCCTGATCAAGCGACCTATCTCTATATAAACCGAGCCGCCGCCTTCACGTAACATACGCGAAATCAATCTAGGATTTGCCTCCTACTCTGTGCTGCGCCGTCGCTCGTAGACTACTCCATCCCGCTCGCCGGCGTGCACCAGCGATCGGGAGAGCAGGTCTCCGGAACCTCTGCCTTCGACGTCCTGCACCGGGAGAAGGCGGCAATAAAGTTTTTGGGAAGCGCTTCGTGCGACTGCTCCCTGTTCGTTCGCTACGGCTCGCCTTCCTCTCCGCTCGCGTGCTGCGCGCCTTCGTCGACTCCCGCAACCGCGAGTAGTTCCTGCTGAGCAACCAGTCTTTCCACCACCTCGGTACGTGTTCGATATGTTGCGCATATTTGATCTGTTCATGTTTTACTGCTTAGTTTACATGTGTAGATCTAATGATGCGTTCATGCTAGTTTACATCTGCAATATCATGATTTATTTATGGAATAAATTAAATCATTATGTGCTTATAATTTCAACAAGCAAATGTACATGATACAGAGAGACCATTTCTGAATTTAACAAATTTAGAAACCAATGTAGCCATGGTCCAGAAGAAGTCAAAGAACCAATCTGACTGTATGGAGGTGTAGATGGGATCGTGTTTGCTGCACCAATTTCTGGGGAGGCATGCGAAGGAATGAAAGGGTGCAAAATGGAAAATAGCAAGAGGTGGTTAAACACCATCATCATGTTGCCGTAAGTATGTAATTAGGATGCTAAGCATAATTTAGCAACCGACAACTGCATGTTTTCTTAGGGATTTCTACTACTCTCGAGGGATCTGTCTAAGCATTTAATGGCTGAGGGGTTTGGCTACCATACAGGTAGCCTAGCAATTAAATTGGGTTAGTGGAGTGTATTTGGATTTTTCATTGTGCTCTGATTTAATCTGCACTAATAGCTTCAATTTTTCACTTTTGAACTTTTCAAGCAAATTGTTTGTTTTCATGCTTCTATGTAATTGGACCCCGATTAATTAACCATTGAATTTATGCCGAAAGTACATGGCAAAGATTGTGAAAAAGAAATGGAGTAGTACTATTTGTAGATTTAAACATATATAATTTATAAACAATTTATATGTAGCCTCTGTAAGTTGGTTTTCTTTTGAATTCAGGTAAGGTTTATCTCTCCAGTCTAGACATCAGTTTTGCTACACTACAGTGTATTATTCCTAATGGTATATATTACAATTGTCTATCAGAATTACGATGGTGGCATATTCAATAAGATCGTTGCTTGAGGAGAGAACTGGGAGAATCCAAAGGTTCCTAACGAATAAGTTAGCTTGTTTTTTATTTACTAAGATAGGCATATGGTTGCCTGGTAGTGATGATGGTTTTGATGGGTAGGTTTTCTCTAAGATGGAAGACATTAATGCTCCATAAGCACGATGCAATAGTATTGTATCTAATTTAGTTCTTAACGATGATGTCGATGCTAAGGCTCCAGAACATAATTTATTTATTTAGATTTTTTTCTTTCTTTTACGTTTTTGTGCTTAATACTTGTGATCTTGTTTGAACATAATGTCAGAAAACTTTTGAAACATATATTGTTACTTTTGGTTGTTTGCTTTACATTATAAATAATGTCGTAGCGTTAGCACGGACATATTACTAGTAAAATAAGTTTAACTAAGTGGAAGAAACATAAAGCACTCTATTACTATTCTTCTAATATACACTCAAATCTTAGTTTACATCTGCTAATATACAATCATGTGGCCAATACCCCCTAACAGTGTCCTCCTGGTACTTCGAGAGACCACCCTGGGTTGGCGAGATACTTACGACAACCTGTCATGGCCGTCCAACCGGGGCTACATATAGAGGAGTACCCTCCCTTCGAATTTGTCTTAGGAATATATACTAACGTGGAGAAATACCCATACTGAGCTATCACCATCAGCGGCCCACCTCTAATGTCCTGCAACATATATGCCCAATTAATGATATTTAATAATCTAAGCACCATGCTAACATTACTAAATACTACTCTATAGCCGTGCACCCGACATAGAGCAACTGATAAATTAGACATTAAACTCGCACCATTACACCTCTCTGGTAGGCTACCCACACAATTCATATAATGCAGATATAAAGTAAGACCAGTACTAAGACTAAGCAAAGCACCGAAGATATATAAAGAAGAGTATTTCATTAATACGGAAAGTATTACAGAAGAGATTACAAGAGCTGCTAGAGCCATACCGAAAACTCTTCCGAAGACTCCGAGGACTCCGAACACTATTCTATACTACTACACTTAGCATTATACCACTAATACTAATGTATGAAGAGGAATTGAGCTTGCTTGAGTGTGTTGAGAAGTGAAGTGAACTCCTCCTTTTATAGGGTCGGTATGACGGTTACTGATATGCGAAATGTCGATTTTACCCCTGTAACCATCATCAGCAAGCAATCTTGGATATCCACGTGTAAGGCTAGGCTGATTGGACGCCGCCAGGGTTCGGCCGAACCTGGGCTGGCCCAACAGGCCTCCAGCTTCGGCAGGGTGGCTGACAGGTGGGACCTCATGGCGATTTTGGCAGTTAAGGCTGTTTCCGGCGGTTACACTTGACATGTGGGCCCTCCGTATCCATTTGCTTGTTTAGGAGTGAGGTTTTCTCCAATTTCTCTTTATTTTATTTGATAAATTCCTGCAACATGTTATTCTCCAAGTACAAGTGGAAATATATTATTTGAAAACAAACATGCATTGTAAGCATAGCTAATTCTTCATTATTTTAGTTCTATTGGCAGTCAAATATTGTCTGTAACAACCGTCAACGAAACCCCCAAGCTTAAACCTTTGCTCGTCCCAAGTAAAGGACGAAAGGAAAATAAACTTGGTTGTTGATCAGGAGTTGCTACCATTGTTATATTTAAAATGTACAAGTGCATAGTTTGAGTACTCTCTCTCTCATGTTAAGTAAATGTGCACGGAGGCTTACCCTTACGCCTAAAAATTGTAGAACACCCGCTTCTCACCACCTTAGGCAATTGAGAGACAGAACAGATCAACTGGAGCAGGGAACTTTATACTTTGTAACCATTGCCTACTCATAGGTTGCACAGGAGAAACTTTAATTTTACTAGATGCTAGGGCGCGCCATTGCGCGCTGCCTGCATACACTAAAATACGTCCATGTACTAAATCAATCAATTGATAAATATATTAGTAACATCATATATTCTATATTAACTCTCCTGTGTATATCAATGACACCAGACTTGAGTCAGTAATCCATTCTATGTAACAAATATCCCATGTAACTACAAAGTAATGGGCACTTTATTATCAATGCAAAGCATCCCCTACTAAAACCTCAGTTTGTTACACTATTAGTTCAAACATGAACACAATGCTTTCATTATATAAAAAATATAAGTAATTCCGCGTACAAATTGCTTTGGTACATACACCAAGAGAATGCATTGGTGTCATAAATAATTGATGACAAATTTAAAGGTCATAATCTTTGCAAATAGGACAATTGAAGAACAAAGGGCTCGACTTTCCAATATTAGATTCAGCATCGCATCACATCCTGAAAAATGTAAACAGGTTGAAATGAAAGCAAACATTAGCTAATTAAATCACATTCAAAAGAACCTGCAGACCTGCAGGTACATACTAATACCCTAATAGTAACATCTTATCATAGTGCGCACACACTAAGGGAAAAAAGGACAACCTTGTTTCTAGGCCTATCAGTGCTAGAGGAACATTGATCCATGGATGTATTTTTATGAGGTAGCAGCAATATATAGGAGTATTTTGCAAAATCACATTCATCAAGTTATAAACCAAAAAAAAAAAGGATTTTACCCTTGAAGTAATGCCATTCTATCTTCTCACAGCTGCAGTTTTGTAGCCATATACAGGATAGTGTAAGTGGAGCCAAAATTGTAGCATATCTATTGTGTCATTTGTGGAATTACTAATATTAGTATCCTTCAAGCTGAAAGTGAGAAAAGCATAAGTAACTTAATAACTAATAAGTCTCCAAAGGCTCATCCATCTTTTACTAATATAAAAAAACATAGTGGCGGTGATGGTAGCATTCTATGATGAATAATATTGTACTATCTTTTTGGTAAATGAGTGAATCATTCCATTAGATACTCATCTGTATATGCATGAGGCCATTTCATTTAACGTGAACTCATAAGGAAATATTTTAGATTTGGGGATACCATTTTTTTTCTAGTTTAGAACTTTTGATATATTTATGACAACCATCGACAAAATACTGATTTCAACCAAGTATAACTTCCCAATTTTTTGCTGAAAACTAATCAACGTCTAGCATAAGATGCAGGGATACGCAAACATGATTTACATATTTATAAAAATAGTCATGTGCAGAGCACCCACACAATACCAAGTGACCGCTGGCCCTTTTGAAAGCATGAAAGAGCAGGGAAAATAGATGGCTAAATCCACAATATATACATGCATTTTTTGCGAGGATTATATACATGTAATCCATACACCTTTCTTAAATGAAATACATAAACAACTTGCAAACCAAAAATAAAAGCACAAAGGGACGCTTAAATACATAAAAAGAAGATATATTGACATTTAAAAGAAATCTTAATCGTATGAGTAAAAGCTAGAGAAATACTACCTCCGTTTTTTAATAGATGACGCTGTTGACTTTTTCTCACATGTTTGACCATTTGTCTTATTCAAAAAATTTACGAAATTATAATTTATTTTGTTATGAGTTGTTTTATCACTCATAGTACTTTAAGTGCGATTTATATCTTATACATTTGCATAAAATTTTTGAATAAGATGAATGATTAAACATGTGAGGAAAAGTCAATGGCGTCATCTATTAAAAAACGGAGGGAGTATGTATATAATTCAGCATCAATCCATGTATCAGTATTATATCTCAGTGCTGACATGAGTAAAAAAAATTGAGGTAGCAAATTCTTATATTAAAGGAGAAAAACAACACTCACCTTCCTGGTTAATGGGACTTTTTAGCCCACAGTGCACAACCTTTTCTGTAAGCTTGCAATTCATATCTACAGCAAAGCATTTGTAGCTTGCAATTCATCTGTAGGACAGGCATATAATAAAATCTGTCAGCCATCGGCAATGGCAGTGTGAGCATTTCTATTTTCTTTACTTACCAAACACTGTGAGGCTCTCAACAGAACTGGATAGGGCTCTCTCAATCATTTCATGGCCAAGGTACAACAATCCTCATCTAACTTAGATGCTTCACTTTCCTGATTACAAGTTTACAACATCTCCTTAAAAGTTTTGAACCATAAGCAAAATTTATGTATATGCTATATGGAACCAAAACCTTCAAGATCAAACTAAAAGGTAGTCTAAGGAACAAAATCTATGCCAAAACGGTAACGATAACTACTATATTTGAAAAAATACTTGATAATTCCAAAAAAAAATATCCACGAGATTCATTTGAGTAAATAATGAGATGGAAATAAAATGTAGCCTTGAAAGCTATTGTACCAATCAACAGCATTCTGTTTACTCATGTTCAAATGAAAAGGAGCACATACCATGCCCAGAGATTTGGAAGTATAAAACAACTGAAGCATCACTCACCATGGCTTCCACAATGTCCTTGACTGTTTCAAGGCTGAAATATTTTTCTATAGCCTCCAGCCTATAGTAACACAGAACAAATGAGATATACATGAACAAATAATACATTTTTCCTAATCAGTGACATGAACAATGTGGATGCTATACATACATTCACATGAAAATTCATCATTATTTAAGAATATAAAAAAGCATGCAAGGTGACCCCATTCTCAGCACATTCAAAGTGCAACCAATGTATATTACTACCAGTCAATTATATTACCAAGCGAACCTAGCTCCCAAAGAAATATATAAACCACAGCTTTACAGGTAATGCAAAGATTCATGAACCACACAAAATAGCACTCGGCTTGATTAAATGAATTAAGAACTATATGCCTTATAAATATAGAACTATCTATTCCATATTTCCATGACAGTTTTGTGTGTCTTTCTGCAGAATAATGTAATTACACTGAAATAGATGATGGTCTGAGTTCTGAAATGCAGTCCAAAACATTTTTACCAAGCAAAGGAAAGCATCTTGATTCTACTATAATTCCCATGCTATGTTTAAAAGAGGACAAGATTATCTAGCATTCCAGCAACTTCTGCATATGACATGTTAAAGCACTTAATAATACATTCTCAGTTTATAAATTAGAAATATATTTACTTCTTATATGTCTTACCTACAAATAATGCTATTCTTATCCGGATACACAATATCCTCATGTATAGAAATAATGCTGTCATCATGCTGAGAGAGAGAGAGAGGTCATTTGTGAAGAAGAGCAATACTGATTCAGAACTAATCATCAGCTGAGAAAAATAAATCATATTATAGTTTCAGGTTTGTCACTCTATTTAGTAAATAATGTTGTTCCACTTTTTTTTGTTAATGCGTAAGTTCCAATCTTAGCATACCTTTGTCGAGTTAAAATGATAACTACACAAGTTTCTTCTGTCTTTGACACCTTGGTCTCCACAGTTTCATTTCACTTTTCAAGGATGAATACAAATTACCAAAGGGGTCCGTGATTGAGCCCTCAAGAGAATCAAGACATGTGCTTAAAATAAGTAGTAAGCTCTATCTTCACCATTTCTTCCCTTTCTTTGTCGTTTTTTTATTGACAGCTTTGTAGTTGATTTGAGACAGTGCAGATAGTATTTACTTTGATGGCATGAAGAATTTTGAGAATCAAACTGAAATGTTGTTAGAATGAATGGGCATGTGTCTGATACAGTTTCCCGATACCTGGGACTATTTTCTCATTCTATTCATGCATTTGGTTAGCATTGAGTGCATGAAGAGTAGCAAATAAGTCACCACAGATAATGCTGTAGAAAATCCATGGCCTTTTCATAATTAAACCAACTTCTATCCTGTTTTCATTTTATCATGCCAAAAGGAAAAGAAAGAAGAAAGAAACATCATAATCATGTAACACTGTGAGGTAGCATTTCAATGCAATGATAAATCCCTGTCACGTTTTATTGCTGCTTATTTCATTTCATATTAGTTCCAGGTAAAATTTAAACAGGCACACTCCGCTCTTCATTAATAAGCTTATCTTCTGTGTTTTTGTGTAGTTGAAGGAGAAGAATTGGGGAGCATACACAACATGCTTTTGTGCAAGTCTATTTTAGATCTCTAGAAAGGAGACGATCCATTTGGCAGAAAATCAAAAGAAATCCAAGAAGACATGGCTTCTACTCTTAAAACTGAAAGGGGCACTTAAGGTTTAAATGGCATATATCATGTTTCGAAGAGCTTGACGTTTTATTTCTGGGAGTTCAGACTTATGACTTATGAGAGCATTCTTAGCTCTGATCAAGTATATTCTTTGCATCATTTTTATTTGCTTACTAACTTTACTCTTCTAGCCTTGAACTCTCTCAAAACAGAATGAGCGGAGTAACCTTGAATTTTAATCTTGCAAGACATTTCAATGTCTGGAAATTGACCTAAGTAAACATGTTCAGAGGGGAAAAAAGGAAGAAGAGAGAAACAGCTGGCTGCTGGGTTATGCAAATGATCTATAGAATAGTTAGCAGAAACTCGTCTGGGGAAGCAAATTATGTGCATATTTCACGCAGGATCATTTGCACAAGGCCCAGCTTGCGAAGCCAATAATCTAATGCGGTAACCCAGTAATAAATTCGAGGTTCAGAGAGCATTGACATTCCAACTCGATGTAATCGAAGTAACCAAATCACCAAATACCCCCCATGAAAGCAAGGACAGCGGTATTGATTTCAGTATTTTACACCCCAAAATCAGAACACGAATTCGGCCACAGTAATCCAGATCTTCAGATGCATGAGGCCCGTCAAATACAGCAGAATAAAAATTATCATCAGAATTAATTTAGAGCCTCAACTGACCTGAATATATTGATCAATACAGCAGGGCCTAATCTGGAAGCTCAGGACGACATTAGCATGATGCATGTTTGCATGGCTCCAACTCCTGGACTCCTGAGAAACCAAACATGGCCTTAGATATTTTCTCCTTTAACCACATCAAATCATTGAAGCAAATTACATTCAAATAAAAAGAAATAACAGAACCAGCCATAGAATATATGCATCACATCATTAGTAATTAGAAGTCATCAGAACACTGCAACTTAAAATGCCAGAGAAAACACATGTTTACTGCTATCAACCAATAGCACTTGGTTTCACTGGATATATTGGCATGATTTAATTTCCATATAGATACCAATTAATAGTGATGTTATCGTGTAATAAAAATATACTGCATATATGGAAAGCGAGTGATTCCTTTAAAGGAGCAGCTTGGAATATGTTGCTCATACAATTGAAGATGATTCTAAGGAACAAAACCTCTGGACCGATACAATGTAAACAAGACCAAAAATCATCTGGCTTTGCATCACTTGAAACAAAATAAAGTAAATACATAGTCTGAAATATACACTTCCTGATAATCTTGAAAAATCTAAGGCTTGATGACATATTTTATATCCACGGATAGTTTAACCTGCCATATTTATCTTCGCCCTAGCTTATCTGTATTCCACAAATTTATGAAGTAGAAGAAGTATATCTGCATATCTGACCTCATAGTACTGAATACACATAGGTAAAAGAGAAATGCATTCTTCAGTCTTGGTGAGACAGAATCAACAGTTAAGAAGACACTACAGATGGTCGACATATAAAACCACTCAGACATTGTTGTGGCTTGGATTAAGAATGTACGTACCCTGAAATTAGTGTCAGGTTCAAGAAAATTACCAGCATAACTGGTGCCCGTCGCAATCTGTCAAATTCTTCACTTACAAATTTTCCTCACTTCCCTTTCTCCTCTACACAAGCCATAGAACAAATAAATTTACATACTTTTAGTAAAAGAACTATAGCAGCCACATCGAACAGTACACTGGGGGAGGTTCGGTTTGGAATTGTGGCGCTTATGACATAGGTTTCACTAGACTACTCTAGACCTTGCAACACATCACGAGCTTGCAAATAAGCATTGTGGTAGCTAAAGCGACAACCCATAAGAAAGATCAATGTTGCAGTGCTGATCAATTTATTTTCACCCCTTGATGCAAATCATCTAAAAACCTGGACTACCATCATATTACCTGAAGATGAATTATTGAGAGCTGAAGAACATGGAAAATTCTGGTATGCAATCCAAAGGTGTCAAACCTGACATGAAAAAGGAAAATGATCAGATCAACAGAGGCTCATCATACCACACCATCCTCAATTTTAAGTCAACCAATCTCATATTATTTGCAATTGACTGAAACCTCTGCATGAATTAATTATTTTTGTCTCTCTTTTCCTTATGGCTATCAAGCAACCATCAGTGACCAACTGCAGTCCCATTTTAAGTATTTAACATTTAAGAAACATTAAGTACAGTAAAATGGGAGATTGAGATTAACATCTTTTGAATAATAGTGCCAAATATAAGCTCATCCTCCTACCAGTTGTACTAAAAAAATTTGACTGCCAATAACCAATACGCTAACTACTAAAAAAATTCATCCAGTATGTGAAGCTTCTAAATTTTTCCACAAACACACTCCAAAATCCTATTCTATAACTAAGTCCCAAGAAAACCTAAAATACCAAGAAAAATACTAAGAAAGAGAATAGATTAATGCATCTAGAAATGAATCATAACAGATTGCTAGAAGTGATTCGCTATTGATTGTTCAGAGGGCAACGAGTATGAAATATAGCTAACCAACCTGGTCCTCTGTGTTTTCAGATGTCATGGCATGGTCACAGCAAGCAGAACAACCAGCTATGGTGGAGGATTGATCAGAGTCGTTTATATGATCCTCAAGCACAACACTGGAATGAAAAGGTGCCACATGTATAGAAATACAAATCTGAAATATTAAGTAACCATGGGGAAAAAATGGCTCACTCATTGGGGAAGCATGATATATTGCAGATTCCTTCAACCAAAAAAGCCGAAACCACCAAATACAAAACAAATTTTGAGACATTACCCAAATGCATTGGCTCTGAAGTGAAATGATAGGCATGTTACTGCAGATTTATTCGCGGCAAAAGAGTTTCAACTTTCCAATCACCCCTCCACAAACCCACTCCAAAACCCTATTCTATAACTAAGCCCCAAGAAAACCTAAAATACCAAGTAAAGTACTAAGAAAGAGAATAGATTAATGCATCTGGAAATGAATCATAACAGATTGCTAGAAGTGATTCTCTATTGATTGTTCAGAGGGCAACGAGTATGAAATATGGCTAACCAACCTGGTCCTCTGTGTTTTCGGATGTCGTGGCATGGTCACAGCAAGCAGAGCAACCAGCTAAGGTGGAGGATTGATCAGAGTCATTTATATGATCCTCAGGCACAACACTGGAATGAAAAGCCCAGTCAAAAAAACACTAGAATGAAAAGGTGCCACATGTATAGAAATACATATCTGAAATAGTAAGTTATCATGGGGAAAAAATGGCTCACTCATTGGGTAATTGCAGATTTTTGATGGGATGTCTCCATCTCTAAAGCAGCTTCTAGTATTAGTGCAAGACTGCTTCACTATGGAAGACATATAATCCTTTGAATAAGCATTGTAGTCCCTTTCTTTACTTGGCACTGCATGAGACACCTTGATGTGAGTTTATGGAAATTGTTCACAATTTTTTTATAAAAAAAGAAATCTCTAAATGCTATACAAATGGGAGAACCTATGGCAATGAGCATAGTGTTGATATTAGGTTCCAATGTTGTGATTGCAATGTCCCATTTTTCGAACTTTCTTCTAGAGTTCACCTAGAAAAAAAGATCTGATCAGTACTTCAATCCCAGCTGATGAGTTCTTTTAGATGGAATGGATGCAGGTTCTGTAGAACATCATAAACATGGCAAGATTAGGGTCTCTCAAAATTTCATCACCAACAGTGGCATTAGAGCACCTGGTAAATTGGTATAATAGTTAGGTTGCTCCATTGCATTAATAAAAAAATGAAAATCACTGTCAATGTTGATGTGCAACAATTCATGGTGTATAGGGGAAAAAACGAGATTAACTATTCCTCATGGCAACCTTAAAAGAACAACTCACACAAACCTGCACATCCTTTGTAAGCTCCTGTGCCAAGAGTTTAGTAGTCACCGTCGCCACCGCCGTCTCTGGTGCCATGAGTTGCTCGCTGCTGGTCATTGGCCTTGTACATTGACGGCAACGCGGCTGCCGATGAAGCGACTACCTGTGACCCAGAGGGCACAGATGGGAGGGAAGGGGAAGGCATTGGTGCGGCGTACGGTGGATGCCCCTGCTGCTGCTGGTGGTGAAGTGGCTTCTTAACGCAGTCTGTTGGCGACGGCGACAGTGAGGGCGACGCCGACGACCATGGCGACGCCGATGAGTGGTGGGCTGGGGTGTCCTTGTGGAGATGAGAAGCAGATCTGGCGCCGGGAGGACGAAGACCGCGCCCGCCTCAACCCCCACTCCCTCCGCCGTCTCCCCCTCGAGTTGATGCGTCCGGAACCTCGCGGCAGTCCCGCCGCCAGGATTGGGCCCTCAGCTTTTCGCGCCGCCTGTGATGCAGCCGTCGGCGCTCCGACCTCGTCGTTGACGGATGCCGGAGGCGGAGACGGCTGCACTCGGTGACGGCGGTCGGAGACGGCGACGCAATGGCGCCAGCGGCGCAGGGCGACGGGGACGATGATGGCGACGACGCGAGGGGGATGCGGAAGCAGAGGCGCTTGGAGACGGTGACGCGACGACAGCGGCTGCGTAGGCGGAGGCAATGGCGCGAGGGGAAGGCGGAGGCGAGGGTGGGGGAGGAGACGGCGGAGGGAGAGGGAAAGGGAGAAGGAGAGAGTGGGGGAAGAGAGGGCGGAGGGGAGACGGACGGCGGCAGCTCGGCCGGCGATGGGGACGGCGGGAGGCGGAGGTGGCAGCGCGATGGGGAGGCGGCGGCGGGGGTGGAGGCGGCGGCGCGAGGCGACGGGGACGGCGTGAGGGGGAGGCGGAGGCGGCAGTGCTTGGTAGCGGCGCGAGAGAGGGAGAGCAAGCGGCTAGGGTTTGAGGGGTCTGCGCTAGTGGGAGTATTTTTTCGAAAAAGCCCCTCGTCTTCCACATATCACAACGAAGCCCCTGTCCGCGATTTTTTCTCTTCAAACACAGGACGCGAGGGGCCTATACCTGATTACGAAGAACCGGAGGGCTTTTTCGCAAAAATCCAACCTCGCACTGTAGCTACTGTAGCAAAATCCGACGTGGACACGCCCAGCGTCCGCCCCTTCCGCCACACTTAATAGTTTCTAATGAACCATGGCATATAGAATAATCAATTCATTATCAGAGACATGGCAATCCATTTGTACATAAGCCTAAGAGTTAGATTATGGATGTCATTGGTTCTGGGTTTCTTATAAATCGGTGCACCAGAAATATCTTCACAGAATATGTTTTTCTCAAAACCGGAAGTTGCCTTCCAAAAATCGACTCTACAGGATTCGGGGAAACCGAGAAGTGTGCTCAATCCACTACATAAAAGATTAAACTCTTTACGGAAAAGTCAAAAAGTAACACCACCCTCTGCTTCTCTAAGTGTGCAGAGAAACTGTATAGTTAGTAGACAAGAGCCTAAGTGTGCACAGAAACTGTATAGTTAGTAGACAAGAGCCAAGCTCGTCTACCGTTGCAAAGGCGTGCCAACCCATGGTTCTCCAAATGACACTAAAATCTACATCCATACTTGTTTTCCGGAGTAGCTTTGGATCGTACGCTCGGTTGTGAGCGAATGATCGGTCCTTCAGCATCTGGTAGGCTTGTTTCTCTCGTCTGTCAACGATATCGAGGTCGTTGTCGGTCAGGAGCTGTGGTACAGCGTCAGTGTTCTCCATTGACACGTCGGCAGATGCCCGATCGCTCGACTGGTTGGATCGGGAGCCGGATCCCTTGAGCAAGTGGGAGAGCCGTCTCCTCATGACTGCACAAAGGCAAGAATACAAAGCGAACTCGAGCAGGGGTTAGCACAAGACAATATACCCGCCAGTTAACTTTGCACCAAAAGCAACTTGCTAATGCGAGAATGGAGGATTTTAACTATGAGGCTGTTGGCTGTTGTTAATGACAGACTTTATGCCACCAATACCTGCATAAATCAAGGAAATAAAACATCCAACATAGTGATAGGGTTAAATTCTGACATATTCCACGAGTGTTGGTGTATATTTGTATGCAGGTAATAAACCACCAAAGTTGGACCAAAAATAGACTTGAGTGAAGAATAATTCCTATCCATACCAAGAGTGGGCCAAAAACTACCAGAAAACATCTTCAAATGGGCTTTCCACTCACAGAAATGGATAGAGGACGCAGAGAAGGAGCAACAGGCCGAAGATGGGCTCTGTCGAGCCAGACCTGGGTTTGGTCGAACCCATGGTTCGGCCAACCACTACCACAGCCGTTCGAACTGGGGCTTCGCGTGGATGGTCTAGATGAGCTCCTAAATGACGGTTGGAGGGCAGAAGTGTCTTTTCGCGTTCCATAACCATCATACCTGTTGGTGATAAGCCCTAGAGGCAATCATAGAGATGATTGTATCACATACTATATTTACATATTTATCCGATATTGTTCCTTGAAATAGATAACTCATTATTGGTTAATGAATATGTGATTCTTTCATGAGACTCTTTATGTTGTATGCTACTATTTTGGATGAAGCACAAAGAACAACTCGCACTAAGGTAATAAAGTTGTTTAAAGTCCAATGGAATCACCATACAGAGGACCAAGCAACCTGGAAACGGGAAGATTATTTACAATTGGAATTCCCGTATCTTTTTGAAGACTCCTAAGCAAATCTCGGGATGAGATTTATTTAAGGTGGGTAGGTTTGTAACATCCTCAAATTTTAAACTAAAATTTGACTGCATCATGCTGGCTTTTGACTATATTAGCAAAATTAAAATCATTGTTATTTGAACTCTTTTTATTCTTAATTTTGGTTCAAGTATTATTTCTTTAGAACTCTTTTAACCTACCCTAATTATTTCCTTTACCCTAAACCTTAGTGAATGTTGGCGGATGTTAAATGCAGATTCTATACCGACAACATCTGCATAAAGTTCAGATAATAAAACATCCAATATAGTGATAGGTGCTTAATCTCACATATTCCACAAGTGTTCGTGTATATGTATATGCAGGTGTCGGTGACATGGGGCCGGGGGTATCGTGACTAGAGGCTTGGGTAGCCGCGGTCACCCACGTGGCCTGACCCCCTCGGGGGGGGGGGGGGGGTCGGGCCCGAGGGTGACGTGGCCACCCCTCCCTCTGTCTCCCCAAGGGGTCGGGCCGCTCCCGTTTCGGCCCCGAGGGCTGGGGCGCCCCCGTTTCGGCCCCGAGGGCTGCGACGCCCCGACCCCCTGTGGTTTTGGCGCCACGTGTGTGAGTTAGGTGAGCACAGCGGGGCTCACCTAACCGCATTTATAACAGGTTGGACGAGCGCGCCACGCCGCATTTAATGCGGCGCAGCGCACGCTTATCCGGTCTGTGACCAGTCGCGGTGTGTGACCGGTCACAGACCGGTCAGATCGCGGGTTAGGTGGCAACAGGCGGCCTGTCACACGCCTCGCCCCGTCCCGTCGGAATGATGAGAGCTTCCTGGCTCTCGTCCCTAGCCGGAGCCGGCGTGCTAACTCCTGGAGTTGGTATGTCAGTCCCGGTCAGAACCATTCCAGGCTTCAGCGCAAGTATGGCAAGGAAGTCGCTGGCCATTAAATGAAGGTTGAAATGGGCGTCCACCGGAAAAGCGGGCGAGCGGGGCAGGAGGCGTGTGCTCTGCTTGTCAGAGGTCACTTCCGGCTGTAGACTAGCCCTCATTGTAAAAAGCATGTTTCCTTTCTTAGGCAGCTGGAGGCCCTTGTGGTGACCCCTGACCAGATAAAAAGGAGGCCCAGGCCTAGGAAAGGGGGGGACTCTGGAGAGAAAAGAGAAAAGAAAAAAAGAAAGGGGACTCTGGAGGGAGGAGAAAAAAGGGGAATGGGTGCTAGACCCTGAACTCTGGCTCGCTCTCCAGCTCTCTGTATTCCTTCACGCACAGATCCACTAGAACACAGGAGTAGGGTGTTACACTTCCCAGCGGCCCGAACCTATCTACGTCGCCCGTGTCTTGTGCACTTCCTCTCTCGCGGACGTTCCTCAGATCGAGGGCAAAGAACCTCACTTAGCGCCCCCGGCCGAACCGGCAAAGGGGGGCCTGCGCGGTCTCCCGGTGAGGAGCCCCACGCTCCGTCATCTGGCGCGCCAGGTAGGGGGCGCGCGTGTCTTTTTAAGCCCTCGTCCTCTTTCGTGTGCACCAAGCTTCTCCCGCTCAGCCTAATGGCCGAACGGGCAGTGGCGCACAGCCTCTCTCCGAACGCTAGCGGTGACGACGGGGAGCAGAACCCGCGCCGTCGGGCTCGCACCCCACCGTCCCCCTCTCACTGAAATCTTGGGCGGGGGGAGGCGCTCGGGGAGGTCGAAGGAACCGCGACTTCACCGCCCGCGGGCGACGGGGGAGGACGGCGAGACGGGGCGTGTCGCCGCCTCGTCTACGGCGATGGCGGCACGCCCCAGGGCGCGCTCCAGGCTGCGGGCGCGCTCCTGCGTCACCCGCCCGTCGTCCCCGATCCAGAGACTCCAGCCCGACGTTGGCTGGATGACGTGGCCGACTTGGTCATGGCGGCGCAGCAGCGCCTAGGCGCCGGCGGGCGGTCCTCCGCCACCGAGGCCTCTGGCGCTGCCGCCGCCGGCTCCATGTCGTCGAGGCGGAGGGCGCGGCGAGCGGCGGCCGTTACCCGCCGTTCGTCCGCCATTCCCTCGTCAACGCCTCCGACCCAAGAAGATGTGCGTGGGGGGCCGGATGCCCGCCTCGATATCGAGCGGCGGCGCGACGCGCGCCGCCCACGCAACGGAGGGCGCTTCCTCGTCCGGAGCGCCACTTCGGTCCGGGCACGGGGGCCGGCCCCCCGTGTCCCCGGTTGGCGGTGCCGGCTGTCGAGCCTTTGTGGCGAGCCTTCGGAACGTCCGTTGGCCCCAAGGTTCCGGCCCCACCATCACCGAAAAATACGACGGAAGCGTCAACCCCGCCGAGTTTCTCCAGATCTACACGACCGGGATCGAGGCCGCCGGGGGTGACGACAGGGTCATGGCGAATTTCTTCCCCATGGCCCTGAAGGGTCAGGCGTGGGGTTGGCTAATGAACTTGCCACCCGCGTCGGTCCACTCTTGGAAGGATTTGTGCCAGCAGTTCACCATGAACTTCCAGGGCATATATCCGCGCCCAGGCGAAGAAGCGGACTTGCATGCGGTACAGCGAAGGGACGATGAGTCTCTTCACTCGTACATTCAGCGGTTCTGTCAAGTCCGCAACACCATACCGTGCATCCCCGCACACGGGGTGATCTACGCGTTCAGGGGGGGCGTACGGCGCAACCGCATGCTCGAGAAGATCGCCTCCAAGGAGCCCCAGACCACCGCGCAGCTTTTTGAGCTCGCGGACCGTGTGGCTCAAAAGGAGGAGGCCTGGACCTGGAACTCCTCCGATTCTGGTGTGGCAGCTTCGGCCGCCCCCGGGTCCGCCGCTCGGTCAGGGCGGCGGGACAGGAGGAGGAAGAAGGGGTCGGCCCGTTCCGACGACGAGGGTCACGTCCTCGCCGTCGAGGGCGCTTCGCGGGCCCCCCGAAAGGGGAGGCCTGTGAGCGACAAAAAGAAGGAGGCCGGCGCTCCCAGCAGGGAGCGCCCGACCGGCAAGTGGTGTACCGTGCACAACACCTCCCTCCACGACCTCGCGGACTGCCGCGCGGTCAAAAGTTTGGCTGAGCGGACGAGGAAGTGGGAGGAGGAGAAGAAGCAGGAGCGCTGTGAGGGCAAAACCCCGGCGGCTCCCACCGGCAACCGGCGAGGTGAGGCCAAGCAGAAGGCCACCGCCGAGGACATCGACGATGGCGACGATGACCTGGGGTTCCAGGAGCCTGAGGCCACCGTCGCCA